TTCGTACGAAGCTGACGAGCCCGAGTTTTGGTCTGAGAAGTGAAGTGAGCATGAATTTTCTCTCAAACCTGAAGCAAATGTTGACAACCAATGATTCGAGCCAAAAAGGAGGTTGATAAAGAAGATTGAAGTCATGAAAGAAGAAGTTGATCATGTGTTTCTCAAGTGGTGTATTCGGGATTCTCCCTAAATCACTATCCGAGATGGAAAGAAATTGTGGCGAGATCTAAAGGTTAACAAGGTAGCGTTGAAGAAGATGAACTTTAATGAATGGTTCAACTTGTTGTTGCTAGAGGAAGAAATTAGTGTCGCTGAGTTTCTCCGAGACAGAATAGGAGAAGAGGACAGGTGTGGTGGGCGCCATGGGAGCAGGACCAGTACCCATAAAGAAGGTATCCTATGCTCTGTATACCATGTTGATAAACCTAATTTACTGATAGAGAAAGAGAAAGACAGAGGAATAAAGATATTCTTATATTTTACTAACATTTTGTACGGTGTCCTCTATATAAGAAAAACATCTAAAATAATAAAATAAAAAATACAACATATAAAATACTAACAATCCAATCAATCTATCAAAACAGAAAAGATATGGTCAATAATAATAATCTAACCAAAGGGATTTAAAAAAAAAAAATAGTATATGCTAACACCAAGCAGCAGTTGGTGGACTGTGATAACAATAACAACGGGTGTCAAGGAGGTTTGCCGGATAATGCTTCAAATTATAAGAGATTGAGTTGGCAGAGAAAGAAAGGGACAAAGAATAAGGAAGATATTTTTTGTATCCTTTAATTTTCAATGTACAAGAGTATTAATATAAGTTAGGCGCTTAACAGACTCAAGATATAACCAGTTACACTGAATTTTGGATTATCTCCCATACAACCCCTTAATCCAAAGTACTACTACATCTTAAGCCTAGCAAATATTTTAGTCTATCAAATCTTGGTTGTCTCAATGTCTTTGTAAATATGTATACAATTTGGTTTTCTGTAGAATAGTGCTTCAATTCCAGCTTTCCTTTTACAACTTGATCTCTTAGAAAGTGAAACTTAGTCTCAATGTGTTTGCTCCTACCATACAAAACAGGATTATTTGATAAACAAATAGTAGATTTATTATCCACTAATATTTGAACTGGTTTCCTGTATGAAAGATTCAATTCCTCTAGCAATTTTTCAAGCCATAAGCTCTAGCATGCAATCTCAGCAGAGGCAATGTATTCTGCCTCACAAGATGATAATGCTACTACATTCTGCTACTTTGAACACCAAGAGATGGGTGTTGTTAGGTACTTGAAAAAATACCCGAATTTACTCTTCCTATCCATCTTATCCCCACACCAATCAGAATCTGACCATGCCTCCATTATTTCTTCATTCTGATATGCTTTTCTCGAAAAAAAAAGCCCAAATTTGTTGTTCCTTTCAAGTATCTAAGTATATGTTTTACGACATAAAGATGTGGTGTTCTGGGGTCATTCATAAACCTACTAACAAGGCCGACACCATAACTAATATCTAGTCTAATGTTACAAACATATCTAAGAAACCCAACCATTTGTTTGTATGTGTTGCATCAATAGATTTTGCCTCCCATTCTTCTGTTAGTTTTAAATTGGTCATAACTGGTATTGCAGCTGTGTTGTAGTGCAGCATGTTGAATCTTTTCAAAATCTCATTTATATACCTCTTTTGATGCATTACAATTTCTTCTGCAGTTCCATTGAACTCAAAACCGAGGAAGTAACTTAATTCTCCCAAGTCTGTCATCTCAAATTCAGAGTTCATTTGCTCCTTGAATATAGTGATATCTGCTGGTGTGTTTCCTGTTACAACCAAATCGTCAACATATAGGCATATTATTATACACTTCTCATCAAATAGCAATTTGATGAACGCTCCAAACTCCATGGTGCACTTCTTAAAACTCAACTGCAACAGAAAGGAATCAATACACTTGTTCCAAGCACGTGGTGCTTGTCTAACATAAACTTCCTCCTCTAGATGACCATTTAAAAATGCAGATTTGACATCAAGTTGATTTATTCTCTAATTTTGCCAACTTGCAACAGTTACTACCAGCCTCACGGTTTTAAGTCTTGCTACCGGTTGGCAACCAACTTGGCCTTATGCTTAGAAATTAATCCATTTGGTTTGTACTTGGTTTTAAACACCCATTTAACATCAATAGGATGTTTGTGCAGTGGCAAATTCACTAATTCCCATGTTCTATTTTTCTTAATTGATTTCAGCTCTTCAATCATAGCTTCCTTCCATTCTCTAATATCCAATGCTTCCTTCCATGTTAACACTTCTGCATCAGCTAGGAATGCTAAATGCACAAGGTCTCCTATATCTGCTACTTCATTGTCACCAAAAATCTCATGGTCTAATAGTCTACTGGAGGGAAATTTCTGCCTTTGGGATCTTTTAGTGTTTGTTGTAGTAACTGGTGTATTACTTGCTGAAGTATCCTTTTCTTCCAACATACATGGGATGTTCATTTCTAATGCAGGTGCAGTTTTATCCCAACTCCAAGTGGTTGTTTCATCCACAATTATATCCTGTTAACAACGATTTGTTTCTTCTTTAGGTCATATAGTTTATATGCCCCAGTTGAATGGTATCCAACTAATATAAGAGGCTCACTCCTATCTTCCAACTTCTTCCTTCTTTCATCTAGAATATGTTTGTAGCATATAGACCCGAAAATTTTGGAGTGTTTCACTGAAGACTTATCTCCAGACCATATGCTTCCTCAGGAGTTACTCCTTCTACACCTTTGGTTGGACATCTATTCAGTATGTAAGTAGCCGTTGAGATAGCTTCTCCCCAGAATTCATTGGGCAATTTCTTTCCTTTTAGCATGCATCGGGTCATGTTGAGCAGCATCCTATTTCTTCTCTCGGCAACATCATTATGTTGGGGTGTATATGGAGTTATTACCTCATGTTCGATCCCTCTTAATTCACAAAATTCAGCTAGTTCATTAGAGTTGAATTATCCTCCTCCATTGCGAAAAATTTCAATCTGCATTCCTGGTTGCCTTTCTACCATGTTGCAGAATCTAACAAAATGCTTAAGAACTTATTTTTTCTCTTTCAGCAAGTATAGTCATATCTTCCTAGTCCATTCATCTATAAATATAAGAAAATATTTGTTATCTCTAAGTGATCGAACATCGAATAGACCGCACACATCTAAATAGACAACATCAAGTGGCTTATTTGTTCTTTTCGGTGCTGACTTCTTGAATTCCTTTCTTGTTTGCTTGTCAACAATACATCCTTCACATATTTTGTTGGAATATTGATCACTATTGATCACTGCCAACCTAGCTACTAATTCTTTGCTGTTCAATTCACCTAAGCTTTTAAAATTTAGATGTCCAAACCGATAATGCTATAACCAGCTCTCTTCCTCCGTGCTTACAGATGACAGTTAACTGCAGTGACATTTAAATTAATCTTGAACGTTCTATTTATTGATAAAGGAGCTTTAATTAATAAACGTTGTTTATTATCAAACACCTTAATATGATTTTCTTGTATCGACATTAAGTATCCTCTTTTGTCCAACATTAAGTAAATTGTTCTTCATTGTAGGTACATACAACACGTCATTCATATATGCAGTTTTCTATCTTTTCGTGTGATCATCACTTTACCAACATCTTCCTCTATTATTGTGCTATTATCTGCAAAACGCACACTACTTCTTAAGTTGGGATCAAGGTCAATAAGTCATTCCTTTTTCCCATCATGTCATTCGAATAACCCGTGTCCAATTCTAATTAGAATACATGGTCCATTTCAGAATCATCATCATCTTGAGCAAGATGAGCTTCATTAACTTTCTTCCATTTCTTCACCGAATCACTGTGCCAATACTTATAGGAGAAATGTCCAAATTGGTTGCATGTGTAACATTGAATCTTACTTTTATCGAAAGATTGCGTACTTCTACCTCTTCCTCTATAATTTTTGCCTCCTCTATTACCAGCTTTCTATGATGCTCCAAAATCTTCACTGGAATGCTCAAATGAAGATTCTCTACCTTTGCCTTCATTTCTTCCACCTCGTGACCTTCCTCTACCACGTTTATTTTGGTGCCCTCTTACTCGATGAAAATTAGATTTCGCTTGAAGAACTTGATCTCCAATCTTTTCACCATTCTTTTGCTCAATCATTCTCTGCTCATGTGCCTCCAAAGAGTTTTGTAGCTCTTCAATGGACATCTTCTCAGTGTCCTTTGATTCCTTAATAGCAACTACAATATGATTGAACTGAGAAGTTAACGTGCGAAGAACCTTCTCCACCACCTTGCAATCTTGCACCGGTTCATCACAAGCTTGCATTGAATTTACCAGTAGCTGTAACCTTTCAAAATATTCAGAAACAGATTCTTGATCTGTCATTGACAATAGCTCATATTGTCTACGTAAGGATTGCAACCTCATCTTCTTAATCTTTCCAGAATTACCATATGAATCTTTAAAAATATTTCATACCTCCTTCGCAGTAAATGCCTTTGAGATTTTTTGAAAGATTGTTGCGGAAACGCATCCGAGCTTTGCAATCCAATCTTTTACTTTCTCTATATGTTTTCTTTGCTTCATCCGTGTCATTCTTGGGCAATTCTTGAAGTCCATTTTGTACCACTTCATCTACTTCTTGAAAACCCAAAATGGCTTCCATTTTCAAACCCAAAATGGCTTCCATTTTCACACACCAGTCATCATAACCTGTGCCATCAAACACTGGTAGATTACCTGGACGTGATGAAGTTTCTTACATGATCACGTACCACACAGTCCTTTTCAACCTATGCTCCTGATACACCTCTATAAGAGATTGAGTTGGCAGAGAAAGTATGAGAGAAAGAAAAAGACAAAGAATAAGGAAGATATTTTTTGTATCCTTTAATTTTCAATATACAAGAGGATTTATATCAGCTAGGCGCTTAACAGATTCAACGATATAACCAGTTAGAATGAATTTTGATTATCTCCAATACAAATATATCTTGAGAAACAAAGGTATCGCGACCGAAAGCGATTATCCATACAATGGAGTTGATGGAACATGCTGGAGTAAAATGAGTGAAGCCGCAGCTCATATAAGGGGGTTTCATGATGTACTTGCAAATAGTGAAAAGTAACTGTTACAAGCCGTGGCGAACCAACCAGTGTCTGTTTCGGTTGCTGTCAATCGAAACTTTCAGTCATACTCTGGAGGTATATTTAAAGGGCCATGTGGCACTGATCTCACTGATCTCAACCACGCGGTTACTGTTATTGGTTATGGCACCACCGAATATGGCAAAAAGTACTGGTTGATCAAGAATTCATGGGGTGAGAGTTGGGGGGAGAATGGGTACATGAGGTTGCTCAGGGGAAGTGGTAAACATGGAGGTGTTTGTGGCATTGCTAATATAAATAAATAATAATATAAAAATTAAAAAAATGAGTATTTTTTAATGTTAAAATATAATAACTTATTTTATAAAAGAAAAAATATTTTTACAATCCCTTTTTATAAATATTTTTTGAAAACTTTAAAATATTATTTTTTTATTAATAAAAAAAATAAGATAAATAAAAAATAATATAAAAATCTAAATATAATTATTAAATAAATATTTTTATGTTTTGTGGTATGAAAATATGATAACTCATCTCGTAAACAGTATTGTAATGAGTCTAAACATATATCTCCATCTTATCAATTTCTTTGTCCTTTACTAGGTTTCTGCATGTTTTTCTATCTGGTCAACGTATCAATCATTGAATTATGGGTAGTTATACTTCGACACTCGTTCATCCACAAATATCTAATCTACAACTTTTTATTAATTTTATAATCATTAAAAGCTTTGATTTAAATAAAATTAATTTAAAACTATTATTTTATTATTAAATAAAGTTTTAGTTGAATAGTTTGAAAAAATAAAGTTGTCAAAAAATCATTTCCTATGAATTATACACATTTATGAACAATAAATGTTGTCATGGATTTGCTATGCTTTCATGCTTGAATAAATTCATCCATACATTTCTTCTCAAACGAATTGAATAAACACCAAACAATAGTGCTAATCAATCCTTGGCAAGTTTAGAGATATATATAATTAATTAGTTCAGCATCTCAAAATGAGATTTTAACTAGAATTATTTAAAAATAAAATTAAATATTTTATTATGAATAATTCAATGGTTCTCCCCAAAATGCATTGAGGCGCAGTAGTTGATTAGACATATAAGGTTAAAGCACTGTTTCGGTGCGGGCTGCGAGAGCGGTACCAAATCGAGTCAAACTCTGAATACTAGATATGACCTCAAAATAACAAGGGTTAAGGTCGGTCAGTGAGACGATGGAGGATAAGCTTCATCGTCAAGAGGGAAACAGCTCGGATCACCAGCTAAGGCCCCTAAATGACCGTTTAGTGATAAAGGAGGTAGGGTGCAGAGACAACCAGAAGGTTTGCCTAGTAATAGCTCACTGATCGAGCGCTCTTATGCCGAAGATGAATGGGGCTAAGAGATCTATCAAAGCTGTGGGATGTCAAAATGAATTGGTAAGGGAGCGTTCCGCCTTAGAGGGAAGGACCTGCACGAGCAGTGCTGGACAAAGCGGAAGTGAGAATGTCGGCTTGAGTAACGCAAACGTTGGTGAGAATCCAATGCCTCGAAAACCCAAGGGTTCCTCCGCAAGGTTCGTCCACAGAGGGTGAATCAGGGTCTTAGATCAGGCCGAAACGCGTAAACGATGGACAACAGGTAAATATTTCTGTACTACCCTTTGTTGATCCCGAGAGATAGAAGATGCTAGATTAGTCAAAAGATGATTATCGGTTAAAGGACGGATGACGCCCCAACTTTTTCAGAGTAAAGAAAATGCCTCGAGCTAGCCAAAGTTAAATTACCAGGCACTTTATTTTTATTTTTAAAGCAACCCATTAGAATTTGCTCTTAGCTATCCTTTTATTATATAATTCATAATATTTTGTCAGAATAAAATGTTGACAACTGAAAAAATAATGCTGGTCACACAATCGACACAAACCAACTCTGAAGTCAATATTAACGTGATTTTTTTTTATTAGAATAAATTCAATGTTTGTGTCGGTTAAGCATATTTACTATAATTTTTTTAAAATAATTTTATCATAAGTTTTCCTTTTAGAAATTAAATAAATTAATCATCTTTAATCAATAGATTAATGAAGTGTAATCTTTAAAAAAAATTATTACAATAAATAATAAATAAAATTATATATATTAAAGTATTTATTTTTTAAGATAAATGATTGAATAATTTTATTTCAGGAGAGCTATTATTATTAATATTATGTTAAGCATGAAAAATATTAAAAAAATTAAATATTATTTTTTATATAATTATTAACCAATTTATTAATAATTAATTTATAAGATAAAATTATATATTTTGAATATATAAAATACTAGTAGTACACAGATTCCCTGAACTCAGAATTTGATGTTATTAAATATATATGATGAATGCGTTAATCATAATCTAGTTTAAAACTCGATATCTATGATACTCAATTATTTTATTGAAGCTTTTAATCATGAGTTTTTAAATATTAATATTTTATTTAAATTCATAACAATGAATTAACATATTTTGATAATGTCATTTGTATGTCGTACGAAATCATAATAATATAGTGTTGATTTTTTTTTTTCATTATAGTCCGTTATTATTGCACTATAAAAAAAAATTTGTCCTGGGAGGGAGATTAAAAAGTTCATCAATTTTAAATATTCATAGAAAGTATTTTATTTTATTTCTCATACTTTCACATATTTTATCAATTTTTCATAATTTTTTATCTTTTTCAATCTCTTCCATTTATTAATTCAATATATTATTCTTCCTCTCTCATCTTTTTCACATTTTTTTAATATTTTTAATAAATACAATTTTTTTATCGGTCTCTAAAATTTTTCATCAATCTTAATAATATTTAATATTATTTTATTTCTATTTTATCTTTATTAAATTTTGTTACACCGTATTTTTTAAATTTTATTGCTTTTATTTATTATATATTAAATTTTATCTTAATTAAATAATTATATTTTAAAATATTAATAAATATTAATAATTAAATTTTTTATTACTTTACATTAATTAAATATAAATTAAATAATTAAATATTTTCTTATAAATTATATATTTTTTATTTAGTAACATTTAAAAATAATAATTTTAAAAATAATCAACTATAATTAAATATTTAAATATAGTATTATAATATATAATAATATTAATATTATAAAAATTATATATTCGTAGAAAAAATCAAATAATTTTATACATACATATTAATAAAGTGTATATTCAATTAATTATAATTACTTTTTAAAAAATAATATAAAATGGAAACGAATGGAAAAATTAAAAATTCAATAAACAAAAATGAAAACTTAAGTTTTAATTTCGATAAAAATGAGAGAGATAGAATGAATATCATTAAAAAAAAATGAGAGAGAAGAAAATATTAAAAAAGTTACATGAAAAATGTTGGTCAGAAAACCCGCCCATTACCATGCTTAGCTTGTTTATTCTTTTATTTATTTTTTTTATTTTTAATAGAAATACATTATTTTATTGGATAATAGTAAAACATTTAATGAAACAATAATTAATTGAGTAGAAAAAGTTAATTAATTTAATTGTTATAAATTGAGACTGTCTGACCGTTAAGAATTTAAAAGTCATTATTGTTAAAGTTATAATGATAAATAAATAAATAAATTACGAAACAAATTAAAATTCATTTTAATATAGTTTTTTTTTTTGTAGTAAGTTTTGGCATTGGAAGACATCTTACCGAATTAATGAGGCTCAATTATCCGGCAATCAAGCCACTTCCGATTCTCAGTTTGCTGGAGTTTTAGTCTTAGTTCTTGGAATTTATTCCGCAGAGTAGATTGAAGATTTGTCGTCTCATCTCATTTTTTTGGAATTCAATCAAAACTTAGCTGATACGCTTCATCACATCCAGGAGTTCCATATCTGCATGCGCCAATTCAGGAAGAAACAATCTATGTGTTTATCGAACAGTTCATTAATATATAAGGAAGGTTTTACCCAAAAAATATATATAAGAAAAATGATATCATTAATTATACCTATTTTTTTATTTAATAGTTTTTATTAGATAAAAGAATAAAGTTATAAAATAAAACCATATATATAGTGTTAGTATTTATAGAAATTAAGTTATAAAATTGTAAGTAGGAGGAGTCAAACAGGTGGGATTATTTTATGATATGTTTAAGGATTGAGTTAATTTTTTTAATCTCTCCTTCCCGAATTGATTTCTTAGGATTGAATTAGTTTTGTCATTTCTTAGATGTCTGCCGGAATTTTGGCATAAGAAGACATCCTTCGTATCTTGTCGTGTTGGATGGGTTAACCATTATTCACGTCCCCCCTCTGCAAATGGTCAAAATGTTTTTTAGTGAATCTTTAATTGACACCCGTTTGGAAATGACATTAGTAAAAAAAAAAAAAAACGTGTACATAGCTTGACGTTGTCGCATGTAACAGGAATTTTTAAGCTATTAAAATGGCTAACCAATGCTAATTACATAAAATATATTCTCTTGCATCTGCAAAAGTAAATGGCCATTACAGTTGAAATTAAACATGTTATTGCTGTTTGTGTTAGCTTGTGGACATGTGCATACCCAGCCATGTGCCGAACGTTGCATGAATCTTCTGTTGCTAAAGCACACCATGACCAATGGATGATCCAATACGGTCGCTCCTATGCTAACGATGCAGAGAAGGAGAAGCGGTTCGGAATATTTAAGGAGAACTTGGAATACATAGAGAAGTTCAACAATGCTTGGAATATGAGTTATACGTTGGGTCTGAATAAATTTTCTGATTTAACTGAAGAAGAGTTTATGGCTTCTCACACCGGACTCAACATTGGTTCAAGCCTAGGATCAGACTCGGTTGCAGCACCCTTGAATTCGATTGATTTTCAAACGAGCTTGGACTGGAGAGAGGAAGGAGCTGTAACTGGTGTTAAGGACCAAGGTCAATGTGGTATGCAATCACATCTCCACCTTTTGCTTTAGTTATGATAACATTGTTTTTAATTTTATATGTTTATCTAAAGTGAAGTCTCTCTCCCATTTGTCTCTACTATATATTAGCAATGTGTAGTAGTGTGGCAACATTTTATACGGTCATTGTTACATCTTGCAGGAAGCTGTTGGGCATTTTCAGCTGTGGCAGCTGTAGAAGGCATTTACCAAATAAGAACAAACCAATTGGTGTCATTGTCAGAGCAAAACCTAATGGACTGTGAAAGTAATAACGAGGGGTGTGGTGGAGGAGGTAACGAGGAAGACGCCTTCAGGTACATAGCAATGCACGGTATCGCTTCGGAAAGCGATTACCCATACAAAGGTTTTGATGGAACATGCCGTATGATACAGCCTGCAGTTCAAATAAGAGGTTTTCGACTAGTAGTTGGAGCAAGTGAAGAGCAACTGCTACAAGCTGTTTCCATGCAACCAATGTCAGTTTCCATTGCTCCCGGTCGTGACTTTTACTTATACAATGGAGGTGTATTTGATGGACCATGTGGCACTGAACTCAACCATGCGGTTACTATAATTGGTTATGGCACCACCGAAGACGGCAAAAAGTACTGGTTGATCAAGAATTCATGGGGCCTGAGTTGGGGAGAGAATGGCTACATGAGGTTGCTCAGGGAAAGTGGTCAGCGTGGTGGTGTTTGTCTCGTCGCTGCGAGAGTTTCTTATCCAATTATGTAGTTTCCGAAGGTTTTTCTAGAATCCATTCATGGTGGTGATCCTCTACTCATATATTTCTTTCAACTTTAATTTTCTTCTACTTATTCAAGTCCTCGAGTGAGTCACTGCCACCGTATTCATAACTATATGAATCATCCATACTCTTCAATGCAATTTTTCCTTTTCACCAACTGTTCATTTTATAAATAACTTTTGGCTCTTTCTTTTCTTCCCACACTAAGAAGATCCCATTCTGCACCCTTCACCCTTAAAATAAAATAAAATAATAATAATTATATATGCACAATCATTTCAGAAGATACAACTTATATACAAATAATTCTAATATATAATAAATTATTCATGATTAAAAATAAAAATAAATGATTATATATATAGTGATCGTTTGTTCACACGTAGATTATCAAATCATCTTTATTCAAAAATTATCGTTCAACCACTCTATTTAATAATATTATTATAATAATAATGGTTCTTACGATCTATGTAAGAGTTTAAGATTCAAATGTTTAACCAGAAATTAAATTGGAATAAATCCAATTTAATAAAATAATATATTTTAATAATATAATAATATATTAAATTTATAATAATTTTATCTTAATATAATAACAAATCTAATCTAATATAAATATTATTTAAAAATATTATATAATAATAAAAATGATTTTTAAAATATATAAAAAAATAACATAAATAAATATATTATCAAATACTTGGAGTATAAAGTAATTTGAGAAAAAAAAATTGTTGCACCTAATTTGAAAATAATCAGAGGAAAAAATTACAATTAACTTGAAAATAATTAGAAAAAAATTTACATCTAACTTGAAAATAATTAAAGGAGAAAAATTGTATAATACCTTCTATTACATCTAACTTCAAATTTTCTACAAATCTATTTTATTTCAAGGCATGATTATAAAAACCAAAAATAACTTACTTTCGACTCATCAAATTAATTTTTGAAATTAAAAAAATATGATTCTTACCTGATATTATATTTACATAAATAATTTTAGTGATGATAACAATAGATAACGACAACAACAAAGACGACGTCAAAATGAAACAATAAAAAATAATAAATGACCATGAAGATGACAATTATAAAAACGAATACTGTAATAAAAGAATAATATCACCACTAATATAAAAAAAATTTCTCTTTATCACGTTAAACTAAAGAAAATAAATAAATAAAACAATATATCATCATTTAACTCTTTAAAAAAAATACGAATAACTCTTAACCCGTCCAATTTTATCAAATTTTAATTAATATTTTTAAATTTTGACCGATTCATTATTTATCTTATTTTTAGACAACTCCAAACCGCCATCACCTTGAATCAATTCAACCGACCGAATGCAGCAGCCAATAGATAAATAATATTAAATTGGGTTGTTGGATGATGTATAAATTTTAAAGAATGCGAAAATTTTCCTTGAAAAATCACCTAGTTGCTGTCAACCTTATTATATTAAACTTAGACAGTATCATCTTAAAAACAATTATCTCTCCGGAAAAATTATCAAACCGCGTGAAATTCATTAGAAGAAAAAATGATTAAATATTGACTAATTATTGATAAAAATATTTATATTAATTCAGTTATAAATTATTTTAGTTTAAATATTTTCTAAATCAGAATCTAACTTAATTTTACTTATTAAGCTTTAGATGTTAATTAAAATTATATTCTAATTTAGTAATTTACAGTTTATTCTTATTAAATAATTAAAATATTAGTAGTCAACTTAGAAACCAAATTAGATTCTGATTCATTAGGAAATTTAGCTAAAATAATTTTTAATTTAGTGAATTTTATGACTAAATATATATATATATATATATATATATATACTTATTTAAGTTTTATTATGTTAATATACTTGTTTCAAAATTCAGATTCTACTAGTTAATAATAAATTATATTTGTATAAAACAATAGTTTCTCTTTTAATACATGAATAATATTTCTAAGAAAAACGCTCAAGCATATTTTTTTATTAGTAGATTAACATTCAAAGGATAACAAGTACTCTTACTCTTAAATTGTGTCTAATGGTTTTGATGTGCAACTTAGGGATGGCTTCATGAAAAAAAAAAGAATGCAATCCAACCAAAGTGATATTTTCGGAAGGATATTGAATTCTTCATGCAGCACTTGTAATAATATTTAATATTACAGAATAGAGTATAATTGATTTCAAAATAGTCTTATCAGAAAAGATAACATTTTTCCGATGGCAACTTGGTCTTAAATAAAGAGAAGACAAAATATTCATGGAGTTTAAGAATTTGAACCCTTTTCAATATTATGTTTATAACACCAAATCGTAGCCCAACGAATGGGAAATTAGTAGAAACACCTACAGTATACCTTGTAATTGTCAAACGATGATATTTTCAGTGGCTCTTCGTTAATCATCATCTACTGGTATCAATTAAGCTATTAACTTGCGACTTCATGTACCTGTCTATTAAGTCAGCCAGAGATCCTATCAGTGAAGTCGGGTCATAAATTATACCCACTTTAGGATCTCGGAGGGAGTCAACAACTATCTGCAAATTTGAGAATTGGAGGATGGTCACAGTAATATGCATAATAAAATTACCATGGATCCAGTACCAAAATAAGAATCCACATTTCGATGAAGTGTTAAAACACTAATTTGTAACAGTATCAAAGTCTGACTTCTGAGCAACTGATTAAATTTGACACTTGTGTCAAATCACTACACTATGAGTGTTTTAACCAGTTTTACATTAATAGTAAATTAACATTAATTCTTAGACGAAATGTCAGATCCATGCATGAACACTGTAAATCTCAAAGAAACAATCTTGGAATATATCTTCATCGTGAATAGAAGAGATTCTATCCACTCCATAACTTGCATAATGAACGGATTTAAAAGACATACCACGTCATGTATTCCTTGGGCAGCCAAACTGTCGATATCAACTGGAATCTCACCATCTCTCGGCACCAGAAGGGTATTTATATAGTGATTTGGCTGCATCAAACATAAATAGCACATACATTACATTATTCATTGTGTACAGTGCTTCGTGGGTTTCATTTTATATGATAAATGTATCCAAAGTTGATGAAACATTTTACACATGCTGAATATTTCATGCTGTATCCAAGGTATATATTTAGAAAACACTAAAAGATAAGGCTACTTTTCTTGGGATCACGTCAAATATGTGACTATAATCAAGGAGGCAAAGGGACAGATGTTGAAAGTTAATTAATGAAATTATAGTAATAGAGCCACTTCATATGACTGACCATTGCTGGTGAGGAAATGAATATAACTGTTTAAAAAAATGTGATCCTCAATTAGCTTCGGCACTAAGAAAATAAGTCTTTTGCAGATTAACCAAGAAAAAATATGTTACAGAATTTGTAACTCTGCATTCATGCGATATTTTTGTTGAAGTATTTATGAGATTAGTTGTATCTTGTTGGACAATTATGAGATTAGTTGTAGACCTAGTTCCTAGAATGCATCTGTTTATCTTCTCTAGGATTAATCATGTCTCTTTATTAATTGTATCTCTGAATCTGTATTTTTATCTCCTATAAATAAGAGAACACAAGAAGATGATTTCAGGCTCTCAGAATCAGTTCTTTATTTTCTTTTTCTATTTCAAGTTGGTATCAGAGCGGGTTCATCCCGCTCTGCCTGTCTCTGTTCTTTTTCTGGCATTAATCGCCGTTCACCGCCGTCCGCCACCGTTCGCCGCCGGTGCTATCTTCTCCGGCGCCTTTTTCCTCTCTGACACTTGGGTTTGGCTCGCCTCGAGGAGCGCGACCAAACCCCAGTGTTCGCTTCCTCTATCTCTGCCTCATGCGCCACCCTCGTCCGCGGCTTCCTCCGCGCGTGGGCCTCACGCGCCGCCCTCTCGGTGGCTGTTTTGCTCCAGGCCACCTCTATCCGGCTCGCCTCGTCGCCCTGGTGCCAGATCTGCACTTTGTTTTGTGTTCTCGGTCACAAAACGTGGTGGGTCTGCATTTTTCTCTCTGCCTCTCTCGGTCCTCTCTCTGACAGCACGTTGGTCCTTTCTTGTTTCCTGGAAAATGTCAAGATCTGTGTCTGTATCTTTTTCTGGGACTCCGACTATAACCAAAGAAAAATTAAATGGAAAAAATTATTTGTCTTGGACTTCCTCTGTTGAGCTATGGTTACTAGGTCAAGGAGTTCATGATCATCTAGAAGAAGATGGAAGTACTATACCAGCAGATCAGGCTCCTCAATGGAAGAAACTGGATTATCAACTTTGTGCACTATTATGGCAATTTGTTGAACCACATATTTTGAGCACTGTTCGAGCCTTCAAGATATGTAATTCTTTTTGGAAAAAGGCTCAAAATATCTTTGCTAACGATATTCAACGACTTTATGATTCTACTAATAGACTAGCCTCCCTTAAGCAAGAGGATAATTCCATAATGTCCTTTGTTGCTTGAAGCTCGGTCAGTGTTGAAGAATTAAAAATGTTCCTGGAGGCGGAATCATTAGAAGAAAGGAAGACGAAAGCTGGATAAATTCTATATGGTAATGATTCTTAGGGCTATGAATCCAGAGTTTAATCATGTTAGAGACCGGATTCTAACTGGAGAAGAAGTTCCTTCTACGGAGAGTTTAATCACAAGGCTACTTCGTGTTCCTTCTATCAAAAGCAAAAACGATCGGGAACTTGCCGATTCTTCCGCCATGATTTACGTTCGTGGAAGAGGTAATCTCGACTCTAGAGGACGTGGTGGGAAAGGACGTCCTCGGTGCTCTCATTGCAAAAGAATGGGACATACTAACGAAAATTGCTTTGCTTCTGCACGGCTTTCCGATAAGGCGACTAATACCTCAAAATCGAAGTTGATGAGCCCAAGTTCTCTCATGAAGAGTATCAAGAATATTTAAGGATGAAATCAACCAATTTGGCTCAAGCATCTACAACACCAAATTTGTCAACCGCTTGCATTTCGCAATCTGTGGAAAGTCAAAATCCATGGATTATTGACTCAGGTGCTTCTGACCACATGTCTGGTAATACCTCTTTATTTTCCTCTTTCATTTCCTAAGACATCCCATCTCATATCTTTAGCTAATGGATCTAAAGTAGCCTCTAAAGGAATTGGTCAAGTATCAATCTCTTCTTCTTTAAACCTTCAAAATGTTCTTTGCGTTCCGTCTTTTCCATTCAGTCTTGTTTCTGTAAGCCAATTAACCAAATCATTGAATTGCTCAGTAACCTTTAATGCCAATTGTTTTGTTATCCAGGAACGTGGTACGGGTCGGCTGTTTGGAGAAGGACGTGAATTTGGAGGCTTATACTACCTTAGGACTAAGTCATCTGTATCTTGTGTTGCGTCCTTATCCCCAAAACTGTTACATGAGCGATTAGGGCATCCTCATTTAGCAAAATTGAAAAAAATGGTTCCTGAACTTCAGAACCTTCAAACTCTTGAATGTGAATCCTGTCAACTAGGGAAACATATCAGGTCATCCTTTCCAAATCATTCTGAATCTAGATGTGATTCTGCTTTTAGTATTGTTCATTCAAATATATGGGGATCTAGTCGTGTTTCATCTTTTGGTTTTAGATATTTTGTTACTTTTATTGATGAGTTTTGTAGATGTATTTGGGTTTATCTTATGAAAGATCGTTCTGAACTATTGCCTATCTTTAAGTCTTTCCTTAATGAAATCAAAACTCAATTTGGAAAAGTAATCAAAGTTTTACGAAGTGATAATGCCAAAGAGTACTTTTCTAATGATTTTTCTAATGTCCTAAATTTTCAAGGCATTTTACACCAGTCCACGTGTCCTCACACACCACGGCAAAATGGTATAGCAAAACAAAAAAATAGACATTTGGTTGAAACTGCTCGTACCTTATTGCTGGGTGCCAATATGCCTATTCATCATTGGGGAGATGTTATTCTAACTGCATGCTTTCTCATTAATAGAATGTCATCTTCTTCTCTTGATAATAAAGTTCCACACTCTATTCTATTTCCAAAGGAACCAATTTTTCATGTTTCTCCTAGGGTATTTGGATGTATATGTTTTGTTCATGACATGTCTCCTGGCTTAGATAAACTCTTACCTAGAGCTATCAAATGTGTCTTCTTGGGGTATTCTCGTCTTCAAAAAGGATATCGGTGTTATTCTCCTGAAACCAAGAGGTACTACATGTCTGCTAATATCACCTTTTTTTAATCATCATCCTTCTTCCCTTATTCTATGCAGGATATTGATTCTGTCCAAAATGTGCTTCCTGTTCCCTTAGTTGAATCAGTTGTACCTCCTATTTCTGACCAAAATACTCTAGAATCAGCATCACAGCCTATCATCACCTATCAACGCAGGAACCAGGTGAACAATCTCATTCCCCAAGATGAGCCATCCATAACAGGTCCTTCACCATCATCCTCTAATACCACGGCTCCTGATAACGATGACTCCAGCTGGCCCATTGTCATTCGCAAAGGTACTCGTTCTACTCGTAATCCTCATCCCATTTACAATTTTCTTAGTTATCATAGATTGTCTCCTTCTTATTGTTCTTTTATTTCCTCTGTCTCCTCTATTACAATTCCCAAAAATGTGGCCGAAGCGCTTGATCATCCTGGATGGAGACAAGCCATGATTTCTGAAATGCAGGCTCTTGATCACAGCAAAACTTGGGAGCTTGTTCCTCTCCCTTCGGGAAAGAAAACAGTTGGTTGTCGTTGGATCTATGCTATTAAAGTTGGGCCCAATGGTCAGGTTGATCGTCTTAAAGCAAGGTTAGTGGCTAAAGGGTATTCTCAAATATATGGACTTGATTATTGTGATACTTTTTCTCCAGTAGCCAAAATGACCAATGTCCGCCTGTTCCTTGCCATGGCCGCCATTCGTCATTGGCCTCTTCATCAATTGGATATTAAAAATGTTTTCTTGCACGGTGACTTAGAAGAAGAAGTTTACATGGAGCAACCTCCTAGATTTGTTGCTCAGGGGGAGTCTGGTTTGGTTTGTAAATTACGTTGATCCCTCTATGGCCTAAAACAATCTCCACGTGCTTGGTTTGGAAAATTCAGCTCTATTGTTCAAGCTTTTGGATTAAAACGCAACAAAGCAGATCATTCAGTGTTTTATTGTCACACTTGCCCCTGGCAAACATGTTTATTTAATTGTGTACGTTGATGATATTGTCATCACGGGGAATGATCTTTGCTAAAATATCTCAGCTAAAAGAGCACTTGTGTAGTCATTTTCGAGACCAAGGATCTTGGAAATCTAAAATATTTCTTGGGTATTGAAGTAGCTCAATCAAGAGAAGGTATTGTCATCTCTCAAAGGAAGTATGCTCTAGATATTCTAAAAGAGACAGGTATGATTGATTGCAAACCTGTGGACAGTCCTATGGATCCAAATTTGAAGTTAATGGCAGGACAGGGTGAAGTTTTCTCTGACCTAGAAAGATATAGAAGACTAGTTGGGAAACTTATTTATTTGACGATTACTAGACCTGATTTGTCTTTTGCAGTTGGTGTTGTCAGTCAATTTATGCAAGCTCCTTGTGTGGATCATTGGAATGCTATCATTTGAATCTTAAGATACATTAAAAAAACTCCAGGACAAGGATTATTATATGAAGATAAGGGAAATACCCAAATTTTTGGGTACTGTGATGCTGACTAGGCTGGATCTCCTATGGATAGGCGTTCCACTACAGGCTATTGTGTTTTCAGTGGAGGAAATATCATTTCATGGTAAAGAAAAAGGCAAAACGTTGTTGCCCGATCCTCTGCTGAAGCTGAATATAGGGCAATGGCGTCTCTTACTTGTGAACTTGTTTGGGTAAAACAATTCTTGCAAGAATTGAACTTCTGTGAGATTCAATCTATGAAGATGTATTGTGATAATCAAGCTGCTCTTCACATTGCTTCCAACCCAGTATTTCATGAGAGGACTAAGCATATTGAGATTGACTGTCATTTTATTCGGGAGAAATTGTTGACTAAAGAAATTTGTACTGAGTTTGTTGGTTCCAATGAGCAGCTTGCAGATGCATTAACAAAATCTTTGAGATGACCTCGAATGGAATTCATTTGTTCCAAGCTTGGTACATTCAATTTGTATGCTCCAGCTTGAGGGGGAGTGTTGAAGTATTTATTAGATTAAATGTATATTGTTGGACATTTATGAGATTAGTTGTAGACCTAGTTCCTAGAATGCATCTATTTATCTTCTCTAGGATTAATCATGTCTCTCTATTAATTGTATCTTTGAATCTGTATTTTTATCTCCTATAAATAAGAGAACACAAGAAGATGATTTCAGGCTCTCAGAATCAGTTCTTTATTTTCTTTTTCTATTTCAAGTATTTTCAGCTGAAAAGAGGGGAAAGTAAAATTTATCCAACTGATCGATCAATCATTTTTAGATTTTAACAGTGTACCACTTTTATCAAGATTAGTGGGCATATTCAAACTAAAATAGCATCTCTCTAACAGAGTCGTGTGACTCAAATGTTTTATTCTCGAGAAAATAAAAATGATAGAGAATAGAGAGGAATTCTCACTCACAAGATTCTTTAAGCGATTGCTAGGTTCTCCATATGTTCGATTCAGAGCATCCATAATGGCAGTTACAAAACAAGAAGCTGAAAATCCATTAGTTTCCCGATCCTGTGAGCCATTTAACATAAGTACCTACCATTTTCTCAATCAAATTAGTAAAAATCGAGCTGGAAAAGTATTGCTTTGAATGTTAAGATTTCCCAATCCAATCCAACGAGACACCACCAAAATAATTTATTCAAGTCTGAATCTCAGGCATGGAAGAGCTCTATGCAATAAAGAATTAATTTCCATTTAATAATAGCAAGCTTTGTGTATCTAGAAACATGCTTAACAAATTTAAAAATAAAGCCATGCAAATTGTCGATGGAAGCACTCGAATGCCGCCACATGGATGGGACCAGAAAGCAATGAACGTGGGAGTAGAAATTTGTGCCCATTGTAAAATATCAGCTTAAGATCCATTTTGTCTCGTGCAGCAGTCAAGCCATGTTGGACCACTCTATAACTCTATTTCTTTCACGAAAAAAAGTAATGTTGTCGAGTCTATATTTCTCCCTTATAACAGGGTAGAAGGTCTATTATACTTTCTGCAGATAACCAAATCAAAAAGTAACATTACAAGGAAATACCTTGAGGCAGGACCTTGAAGAAATGATCTCCCCAATTCCCCGTAACACCTAGAATAAATTTAAGTAAACATGCAATGAGAGACCCATTGTTCAAGGAATGGAGATATAAGTTTGTTCCAACTAATTACATATTAATCAAGTAAAAATAAATACTGAAAGCGTTGAACAATCATGTTTTCCACAATTTAGACACAATATCAACAAAATAAAGGCCTAGCATCCAAACCTCAACTGCTCAAATGTTTTAATATCAGTGTTTTCAAATATATATAATCAGCAATGTTATGAATTATTACCAGTGAGGGGCATATTGAAGTAAAAAGGGAGCCCATGCCATACACAATGCAGTCCACATTATTTAACCACTCTAATACAGTCGCATTAGCCGAGGGAAAGACCTATTCAAAAAGAAAAAGTAGTTCCAATTATAAGATGTTAATAAATTTGGTCTTAAAATGGGACCTGAGTATTGATATTATCATAATGGATGAAAACAAAAAAACCAGCACCCACCTTCAAAATACAAGATGTTGCTTATTTAGCTCCATGTTATAGTCATCAGGTCATTGGCCTGGTGGTAACCAACTTGGTAACAAGTTAGTGTTCCCCCCTCCCCCCAGTTGAAATTTGAACCTCAAGTACACTAAAAAATGTAGCCTTGTTATAGTAAATACTTAATAATTCTAGTAGGAGCAAATAAGGAGTGTCAGACCATGTTATGTGAGTATCATTCCACTAAAAATTGGCTCTCCTCCACATCAGGTTCTCTAACTGGCACTAAATTAGATTGAAAGTTTTCAGTTTATCAATATTTTTATTTCTTTTACCATTTCTTTTCTGTCAATATAGCATAAACTTTAACTCCATCTTATATGACTTCTTCATTATTTTACATCAACAAAAGAAAAACACAGTTTTTAATCTAATATTATGTTAAACACTCCGAAGAAAGACAGAGAATACAAATCCATACTAATTATTGGATAACTTTCCCTGGTTTCTTTCTACAAAATTTTCATTTACAATAAAATAATTAAATATTGCACCTTCCACATAATGCATCGTTTTCCCCTATTGTCGATGGCAATGCATAATAAGATGTCACAGACATACAGCAAAGATCCTTCAACAAAATGTGAAATATAAGTGGGTCCGACAAGACACGATACTTACCTCATGGAGCAAATTTTGTCCCTCGCTAGACATGTAGAACACCCGTTTTATTTTTGAAGGAAGTGCTGGAGCTGAAAAGCTTCCCTACCCATGAAAATGTACAATTTTAACACGCGAAATAAATATTTATAGGGAATGTATCTACTGTGAGGGCCTTTTTATGTGAGAGTAAAAAAGTAAATCTGGACAATTGGATCATATAGTGAATGGTTAATATAAAAAAACAAGTCATGTGATGTGAGTTTTTAAAAAGTCAAGTGACTTCAGTAGTGATCATATAACTTTTAATCCATGTACAAATTGTAAAACCTATATGTACTTTACTTTTCTCACTCATTAAAACATTTCTCTCTCTCTCTCTCTCTCTCTCTCTATATATATATATATATATATATATATATATATATATATATATATATATATATATATATAAACATGAAATGTGAGTGTTTAAAAAGTCATGTGACTTTATAAGTGATCATATAACTTTTAATCTTTATCATCCAACATTTTACTTAGGAAGGAAAAATTCCCTCACACAAATTTATAAAAGATCAGGCAAAATCAATGGAATAAACTAATATTTCTATATTTCAATTTTAAATCAATGTTCACCTGGAAGGAAAATTTTCCTTCACCAAAACTTATAAAAGAACTAGCCAAATCAAACAAACAAACTAATTATGAACATCTGTCTTTTCTAAATTTGTCCAAGACCTATTGTCTATATCAAACTTAATTGCCTCCCAATAGTTAAATATTTCTAAATGCCAACCCAACATCAACGCAACAGCAGCATACACTTCTGGTCATTACTAACCTAAAAATACTATGACTAAACTACTATTGCTGCTGGATCCCCTTAAAGAACAAGTGCACATTCCCTTTCAATACGAGACTTGAATTCAAACAATATACAAACTTCCATCTCAGGCAAGTTCCATTGAAATATAAACAAATTCAAGTAGACCTAATGCTACAACAAATACACCGGTGTACCTTCTTAATAAGCTCCATTATTCCTCTGGTTGGATGAGAAATTTCATTCTGTCCCCGTATAATAGTTCCATCCTATGTGGATATCAGATGATAAAATAAGATATTGCAATGACTAATAAAATAGCAGGTCAACAACTTTTGTGAATTCCTATATCAAGTTCTTTTGATAGGAATAAATAAAATTCTCTCAGAATTGCGAGGAATCTCTATGAAATCATGTGTACAGTTAAATAGATTCACAGCATACCCATAATTCACACCCTAATGTAAGTCTGTCATTGGTTGAAATCACAGGTAGAACCAGGCTTTCAGGGGGAATATCTGAAACCCGTGAAAATAAAAATATTGCAGCATCCAAGGACTGAAAAAATATGCGTGCGCCTGCAAAAAAGAAATTCCCAATGCTGCATAGTTTATAAAAGTCAGTTACAATGTTTTAGTGCTACACCCAAAATGTCAACCAGCAGAAGAGGGTATATTTTTATGTGTAATTTGGACAAGTGAATGAAGTCTTTATTTCAACTAGAGTGAAAGACCAAGTTACATTTATGCGGATGCTTTAGGTAAGCTATTGAATGATCTCTGTTGAATATAGGGTTAATTTCCCTTATGTATTTACCACACATAGGGCAGTGTATTTATAATAAAGAAAGGTACTCCTCAAAAGAGTAACAGAATACAAATAGGGTAAATAAAAAGATATTATTTGATATTGTGATTAACAATATCTAACAATATCTCAACAATATCAAACAATATCAACTAATATCTAATCATATCTAACACTCCCCCTCAAGCTGGAGCATACAAATCGTATGTGCCTAGCTTGGTACAAAGATAATCCATCCTAGGTCCCCGTAAAGACTTAGTGAAAATATCTGCTAATTGATCACATGAGTTAACGAACTCAGTCTTGATGTCTCCAGACATAATCTTTTCCCGAATAAAATGGCAGTCAATCTCAATGTGTTTAGTCCTCTCATGAAAGACAGGATTAGAGCTTATATGGAGAGCAGCCTGATTGTCACACACTAGTGTCATTTGAGTGACATCTCCAAATTGTAGCTCTTTAAGCAATTGCTTGAGCCAAAAAAAGTTCACAGGTAGCTGAGGTCATAGCTCTATACTCTGCTTCTGCACTGGATCTTGCCACAACACTTTGTTTCTTACTTTTCCATGAGATCAAGTTACCACCAATGGAAACACAATACCCGAGATGTAGATCTTCTATCGGAGGAAGATCCTGCCCAATCGACATCCGAATAGCGAGACAACTCTTGTATGATTATGGGAGTCATACACCAAACCTTTTCCAGGAGACTTTTTGATGTACTTTAATATACGGATGACCGCATTCCAATGATCTTGACAAGGAGAATTGAGGAATTGACTCACCACACTCGATCGCAAAGGAAATGTCGGGCGAGTAAGCTGTAAGATAATTTAATTTTCCAAGTAATCTTCTATACTTGTTCAGGATCTGACATTGGCTCCCCCGATTTGGCAAGAGTTTGGTATTAGGATCCATGGGTGTGTCAACAGGGCTTTGAATTCATCAACCCAGTTTCCTCCAAAATATCCAATGCATACTTTCTTTGAGATATAACAATGCCATCGGTAGATTGTGCTACCTCAATACCCAAGAAATATCCGAGTTTGCCAAGATCTTTGGTTTGAAAATGGTGGCAAAGGTGTTGTTTCATCCGAGAGATGCCATGATGGTCACTACCTGTAAGAACAATGTCATCGACATACACTATCAAATAGATACATCCAGACATTCGAGTGACGGTAAAAGGCTGAGTGGTCCGCCTCACTTCTAGTCATGCCAAATTGTTGAACAACGCTGCTAAATTTTCCAAACCAGGCCCTAGGAGACTGTTTTAGGCCATATAAAGATTTGCGAAGACGACATACCAATCCAGAAGACTCCCCCTGAGCAACAAATCCGGGAGGTTGCTCCATATAAATCTCTTCTTGCAAATCGCCATTCAAGAAAGCATTTTTGACATCCAGTTGATAAAGAGGCCATTGTTGAATAGCAGCCATGGCAATGAATAAACAAACAGAAGTCATCTTTGCCACTGGAGAGAAAGTATCACCATAATCCAACCCAAAAATTTGGGTATAGCCTTTGGCTACAAGGCGAGCTTTGAGGCGATCAATAGTACCATCGGGACCAACCTTGATAGCGAAGACCCACTTGCAACCAACAACAGATTTTCCGAGATGGTAATGGGACAAGCGTCCGGGTTCCACTAGTCCGAAGAGCACCGAGTTCATCTAGCATGGCCTGACGCCAACCAGGGTGGGCTAAGGCTTCGAGAGCAGATTTAGGAATAGACACAGAAGAAATAGTCGAGAGACAGGTATAAAATGGTGAAGAAATTCGATGATAACTTAAAGCGGTATAATGTGGAGAAGGATTACGAGTAGAACGCGTACCTTTACGAAGGGCAATAGGAAGGTCGGACTACGTGGACGGAGCCGGAGGAGGCGGAGTATTTGGCACGGGAGTGAGTCATGTGGCGTCTGTTGTGGGCGAGGTCTGCGACTATAAACCTGAAGGGGTGGTGGAGGAGGAGGGGCTAATGGTGGATGGTCCTCAACATAGGGATCAATGAGAACGAGGAATGGGAAGCGTAGCGAGATGGAGACTCAGCAGGTAGGGAAGGGTCCTTAAAGTAAAAGGAACACTCATTGAAGGTGACATCAGCGAGACACAAAATAGCGATTAAGAGAAGGAGAAAAACACTTGTATCCTTTTTGGGATCGAGTAAATCCTAAGAAAACACATTTGTGTGATCGAGGAGATAACTTATCATGACCAGGATCAAAATTGTGGACAAAACAGGTAGACCCAAAAACCTTCAGAGGTAAAGGATGGAGAGTGTCATGAGGAAATAAAATAGAATGGGGAATTTTGTTATCTAAAACCGAAGAGGGCATACGATTAATAAGATAACGAGGCGGTAAGAACGACATCACCCCAAAAATGTTGAGGAACCTCACCATGAATTAAAAGAGTATGGGTTGTTTCAATAAGGTGTCTATTCTTGCGCTCGACCACCCCATTTTGTTGAGGGGTATAAGCACAGGAAGTTTGATGAAGAATGCCATGAGAAGCCATAAATTGTTTAAACGAGTTTGAAAGATATTCACGGCCATTATCACTTCGAAAAGTTTGAATAGAGACACCAAATTGATTTTTAATTTCATGATAAAAGTTTTGGAATATAGAAAACAACTCAGAACGATTTTTCATTAAAAATAACCAAGTACAACGAGAGAAATCATCAATAAAAGTAACAAAATATTGAAAACCTAAATTAGACTTAACACGACTGGGTCCCCAAATGTCAGAGTGAACTAAGGCAAAGGGGGATGAAGCACGCTGGGAAACACTACGAGAAAAGGAAGTACGACTATGTTTGCCTAAGCGACGGGACTCACACACCAAATTGGACAACTCGGGATAAGCTGGGAACAAGTTGTTGTAATTTGCGCAGACTGGGGTGACCAAGCTGAGCATGAAGGAGAGAAGGAGACTCCATAAGCGTGCCAACATGTGGAGAAGGTTGAAGATAATAAAGTCCATGTGACTCACATCAGGTGTCAATCACTCTTTGCGAGCTCCGGTCCTGTAGGAAAGCGAAGTTTTGGTAAAAGAGATAACACAATCAAGAGATCGAGTTAGACGGCTAATGGATAATAAGTTAAAGGGGGACCGGGTACATACAAAACATTATCAATGGACAACGAGGGAAAAAGAGTAACCGTTCCAACACCATGAGCTAAAGTTGTAGACCCATTAGCCATTGTAACAGAGGGTAAATTATGAGAAGAAGTGAAAGAGAAAAATAAGGATTTGTTACCGGTGATGTGATCGGTGGCGCCTGAGTCAAGAACCCAAGGGCCAATAGAAGAAGAGTGAGTCGGACCAGCAAAAGATGTACCTGTGTGGGCAACGAAGTAGTGGAGCTGGAGGGCTTTCGATCCTCATACCATTGAAGAAAATCATTGAAGATAGCAGATTTGTTCGAAGGTACGAGACGAAGGAGGATCCACGACGAGAGGATTGTGCGGAAGAATCGATCCGAGCAAGCTGCAGCGGATCGGCGAGGATAACCATGTAAAGCATAACATTTGTCAATTTTGTGGCCTAGTTTGCCACAATGGTCACACTTGGCACGCCCTTTGCCTAGCTTGTGAGAGCGATTACGATCATCACGGTGAGAGGCCAAGGCAGATGAATCATTAGAAGCTACAGGGGGAATATTGAGAGGTTTACATGGCACCCGCAAAAGGGAGGAACTGGTAGCGGTAAAGCTGGGTGTAACAGGGGAACCCAAAATCCGGTCACGAACAGGGGCATATTTATCGGCAAGTCCGTGTAACATCAAAACCATGAAAAACTTTGATCGTTGCTCTAATTCTTGGGCAGGAGTCGAGGCGGGGGTAATAACTCATTAAATTCATGGAGAAGAGCATGGATCTTACCCACATAATCCGCCACGGGATCCTTATCTCGAGGAGCAATAACATCAAGAAGATTGTAACAAACACCATAAAGACGTTGAGTGTCATTGGTGTATAATAATTTGGCTTGTTCCCAAACGTCATAACATGTGCCATACGATCGAAAAATTTGTTTTAAAGAAGATTGGATGGTATTCTTGAGAACCATACATATATGAGCATCAACTTTCTTCCAACGGACACGATCATTGGAAGGAACATCATCTACCTTGGTAGTAAGATGATCAACATACCCCGACTCTCAAGCCAAAGTCTAATATCGGATGCCCAAGTTGCATAATTCGTACCATCTAATTTATCAATGGGTAAATTCACATTGACATAATTAGTAAAAACAGATTGCTCGGACCCACCGGAGTCGACGGAGGTAACTTCGAATTGGAAGTGGCAGTGGAAGATGCCATGGAGGAAGAGAGAGAAAAACCCTAAAACACCAAAGAGGTCCGATTGGAGCAGCGAGGACAGATCCGAGAGAGAGGAGAAGGAGGCGACGCCGGCGCAAAGATCGGCGGCCTGAACGGCGGCGAGACGCGCCGCCACGCGCGGCGAACGGGAGAAGGTGGCGCGGCTTCGGGAGGCGCGTGAGGAGCGTGGCTGCTCCGATGGCCGCGAAACTTCCACGGTGGAGGTCGCACGGAGGAGGCGAGCAAAACCCTGTGCTCGGCGGTCCGAAGCGCTACTCTGGCGAAGCGGCGGCGGCGGCGGACGGCGGTGGCGACGGCGGCGATAGAGGCGGCGACAACTACGGGTTCGAGTGGCGAGCCAGAAAAAATCCCAAGAGACCTTAAGCTCTTGATACCATGTTGAATATAGGGTTAATTTCCCTTATGTATTTACCACACATAGGGCGGTGTATTTATAATAAAGAAAGGTACTCCTCAAAAGAGTAACAGAATACAAATAGGGTAAATAAAAAGATATTATTTGATATTGTGATTAACAATATCTAACAATATCTCAACAATATCAAACAATATCAACTAATATCTAATCATATCTAACAATCTCCAACTGGTTGGAACAATCCATTCCATTCCATTGGCCCTGGCAATGATTGCCAAATCGTTCATAAACACCGTGTAGTTATTGTGGACAATACAGGTAAGATAGTAGTTCTATAAGAGTATAGTGATTGTAAAACCTTTCTAAAAAACAGCTTGGAAATAACAATTAATCACCAAAGTAAAACAGAAGTTTCATATACAATAGATTACAATTTGAAAACAAGAATATAGGATCAGCAACAGGAAGTTGTTTATCAATCTTGGGAAAAAGAATCGTGAGAGCAGTTAAACCCACTCCATCTCTTTTTTTTAGCATTTCTATGTTTTCTGAAAAAGAAGTTAATTTCTTCAATGCTGGAAGATGCTAATTAAGCTTGCATGTAATACTTTAGAAGAGAATTACCTTTTTCAACTTGCAAGGATGTAATCTTCCAAACTCAAAAAGAGGATAATATGGTGAAGAAAGAAATAAGTAACTCAACCAGCTACATTGTTCCTTTTAACTTATTTCAGGACAGGAAGTCACGGTTTTACACCAGGTAAGATTGTGGAGTGCTAGCCTATACATGTAGCTGACATGACATACTTGAATTATGAAACCAATCATGAAGCATGCTGCATGCATACTTTATTTGACATTTCTCCAATAGACTTGCATAACAATAAACTTAAAATTATTCTGAACCATTTACTAACGCCTGGCCGAACCTTGGGAGGGAGAACCACACCACAAAAGCTAGCTGTTGTAACTGGAGAGCCCATGGCCTTATAAACCCCACATCAGAATCTCATACTTCCAAAATACTTGCAATTGGGATCCTAACATATTCACAACTCAACCCACCGGTAATTGCCACATTCCATAATCTAAAACTTCAAGTTTATCCTCTCCACTAAAGAAAGGAGAAAGAAACAACAAACACCTAATTTGCTTCTACTTCAACGCATAGACACATTTGTTATTATGGCATGATGAATATAATTGATAGAAAAAGGTTATTTAGTGGGAAAAAAAACTATGGCAAAAAAGAAAATCACAACAAGAATGTTACTGAATTAGAAACTAAGGACCTGCCGTTGCTGAAACAAAATGACTCTTCTGCCCGACGGAGAATCTATAAAAGGACCAAAAAGAATGCCCAAATTTAATGCCAAATTGAAAAAAAATGCCAAAAGATTGAAAAAGCTTGATCAAAAGCAACTAAGCAAATACATAATGAATAATGATTATGATGATCTTATTAGTATACTTTAACTAAAATATGGAAAAGAAAATATGTTATTTAACAACATATTTACACAAAGCAAACATCTCCATGGTTATTTTATCCCTACATAGACCTCCCTTAATTTATATGACAATATAATGCTGTGTACCAATTCTATTAATATAGACCCTACTTGATTTATTATGTTATATAAGTTGAGGAAGGTTATTGTAAGCTCAGAAACGGAAAGAGTATCAGGTATATTTTTGCAAAGGCTCAAAGGAAATGAATGTAATTTATCCCAAAAAATATGTAATTGGCAAGATCGTAATTATATACTACACTTGAAGAAGCAATACCCCTATCTCAAAAACAAATTATTAAAATATAAATAAAGAAAGAAACATTTAAAAAGTAACATTAAAAAATAAATATGTGCAAAAAAGAGAAGATTCCCTAAGAGACAACTGAGAAATATTCAAAAATAGTCCCAGTTTGTTTGTAGAAGTCACCTGATTCTGAAAATAAACTAGAAAAGCTCGAATAGTCTCCCTGTAGGGCTTTGACACATCTTTCCATAAAATGTGATCACCTTCCACAATAGAGTACCTATACAAGTCATCAGGGTTGATGTTAAACTTTAAAAATACAACTAGGACCTTTACAAAAAAGCTTCTTAAAGTTCCAAACTCTCTAATATATGGGTACTTATAATTACAAACTCACTTTCTCTTTCTCGTAATGAACCCATATCACCTCATTTTATTTTTTTTATTCTCGTCTCTCTTCAATTTCAATCGCATCATATTTTTCCACTGTGTCTTACTTTTTTTTCTTCCCCTCTCTCCCTAAACCTATTCAACCCAAAATTCGGGTGGTGGCCATTCCACATTTTCCTGAATATAATACGGAACAAGGGTCAAAGAGTACCAGTGAATGTTAACATTTCAAAAAAATTGGAGAGGCCATGACTCCCATATTAGGTAACAAATAAATCACCAGCCCTAATGCTACACCCTAGCAATTAACACACTATTAACCCAATATGCCCAGCCCAAGACAGTAACCTTTAAAGAAAGTAACATGAAAAAGCCAATCTATCCATAATTCAACCAGAAGTATCAGGCATTGAGCAGGAAACAAAATCTAAGAATGTGGTACCAACCATTCTGATTTAGCTTGCAGTGGATCCAGTGGTAGACGATGCCCAAGCAAATTCCGAACCGCGAGGGCCTCAACGGTGCTTTGATCAGACAACCTCAGACACCTGGAACGTATGTCTCCAACAGCAGGACCACCTGCAACGCATGGAAGCACGCACCCAATCAGCCAAATCCTTATTTCCTCGCCCCCCAAAATTTGATTCGGCGACAGTACAAAAAATTCGCCAAATATAGAAATGCTAGTAATTATAATGTACAACTATTAATTAACATAACGCAGTACCGAGAACGCGAACAATCTCGGCAGTACTTCCACCATCGTCGGAAACGGGAAGAACGTGAGCGACACGAGTGGTGAAATTCTTGAGCTCTTCGACGACGCCGTTGAAGGCGGTGCCTCCGGAGAAGACGAGCAAGGCGGGCTGAGGCTGCGGAGGATTAGGGTTTGAGTAACAGCGGCGATGATTATGGAAGCGATGGTGTGTTGGGGAGTTCGCCATTGAAGACGAAGAAGAAAAGCACGAGGAGAGGATTCTTGCGGAAGTTGGGAAGGAGAGGGGAAGAGTATTGCAGAAGATGGGACCCAACCATGTGTCCACCACCATGATCACTTGTGGACGCTTTATTTACTTTCTTTTCGGACTGTGTCCAACGTCCTATTACTCCATTATGTTGTTGCTCCTCATATTAGGACCAGTCCTATCCGCTGTCCTTTCTTTTCATTTTTTAAGTAAATTGCTTAAATATACAGATTTTTTTTTCATTTTTATACCAATATATCATTCTTTTTCATTTTTATATATACTATTTTAATTTTTTTTATATTATATAAGTAATTAAAGTTTTTTTTCTTTTTTTTATGCAATATAAATTGAGAAAGGATGCTTAATCTATTTTTCCCATTCATAAGTTATTGAAAAAGTAAATAAAATGGAAATAGTACACACTTTACTTATAATTAATGGCGGATCTTAATTGTAGTAGACGTAACTATGAACATCTAATTTTTTTTAATTTTATTTTATGTTTTTATAAATAATATATTTAATTTATATATTATTATTTTTTACCATGTAATAGAAGTTCTCTCTTTTTCTTATTTTTCACATTCAAATTTTTATTCTTGATATGTGGTAACTACACTTGATGAGTAAAAATTATGGTTATATGAGGATTTGAATTTAAATGTGTTGTATGTTTTTGGTTATTATTTGTTCGGTTGAGTTTTTATTTAGAATTATTTAAGAAAGATTTCGAATATAAACAATCTAAAATTTGGAGGTTTCACGCCACTAATTTTTGAAAGAAAAAAAAAAATTCTGTGTGAAATTTTTTGTTGAGATCCTACCAAATTTTTACATTCATTATGGAAATTTTACAATATCATGACAAAGAACCTTACCCTCTGAGGTAGAATATGCAATAGAATAAACAGAGTTTAGAAAAATCCGTAGTGTTTTTAGATACCCTTTCATGGCATCTCATAAACATGTTTCCCTACAATAAACAACAAGTTGCTCATAACCCACAAAATTGTGCCATTTGTTTCCCATATTAGCTTCACAAATATTACATCAAGATAGACAATGAACTCCTTTAGTTTGGAGCTTTAGATGGTTGGCAGGCATCCTCCTCTAAGTACTCTCCAGAAGAAGGTACACTTTTTTTCAGATCTCCACGTTTCATATAACTTTAGGGTCTTCATAAGCAGATCGCCTTTAGGGTTTTCATGGTAACATTATTTCCTGGGGTTGAGTCGATTAACACATGGTCAATGTACTCTTTGAAAATATTGAAGTGATTAGTGTTTTTCATTGGTCAAAATGGCTGTGCCATTGAAGAGAAATTTAGTAGTATATTAGTTTGAATTTCAAATATGCAACGATTTTTTGTCACCAGAAACTTTTCATTATATCTGTTTACATATACAAATGTCGTACCAAGAATTGTCAAGATGACACATGCTCTGTAGTTTTTCACGTTTTTGTCTCATAGGGTGATGCCATCAATGGCTGGTTTTAAACAATAGCACATTTCAGGAAAGCCTAAACTGCTAAATCTGAGTCAACTTCAAATTTTTAAAGAAAAAAGTAAAAAGAATAGCCCTTAGTAAGGCAAACTCTTGGAACTTGTGCTAATAATCAAAGACTTCAATTTAGAAGACTCCCCTGCAGCGTTTGCTCTCTGAGTTATTATTTCCATATTCCTATGCAGACTTTGTTTCACCAGACTCTTCATCATTTTCTTCCCTTCTTTTGCTTCTCTTTGATTCACCGGTGACCCCATTGCAAATCTTGGTGTTTGTGGCCCAGAATGTGGCCCCATCTTAGTTTGCCTTTCATCCTTAAACCATTGCAAGAGTTTCATTGCTCTCTTTTGAGCCAAAGGGCTCCCCAATAAAACCACTTCAAGAAGCACATGAACAATCCCTGCCTGTGCCATTTTCTTTCTTTGCAATGAGCTTTGATGTGCTAAAATCATCAAAATATAAGCTGAAAACTCTTGGCATTTAGGGCTATCTTCCCATGACAAGATCTCAATAAAGGTTTCTGGTACCATTGTGCTGTTCTCTATTGCTTTTTTTCCCATCAAAGTCACTGACAAGTTCCCTAGAGTGGCAAGTGCTCTCTCTGAAATTTCTTTTACTGAGGACAGTTCCAAGAGGATAGGAACCACCCCACTTGAAACCATAGGGGATGCATTGTCTAACACAGTCGATAGGTTAAACAAAACACCCAAACACGATTGTTTGGTGTCAAAACATGTGCCTGTCTCAAGAATGTGTCTAAGTAATGGGAGAAAGTCTAATGAAGCAAGAGGGAATTGGAATTGAGTATTTGCTAGAGATGACAGTGACAAAAGCAACTCTGCCAATTTACTTGTTGTCGATTCATCTACAAGGTCAATTGTCTTAGGCAGCTTGGACAATATTCCTGCCTCCACTATCAAAGCCTTGTTCCTGAAGGAAGAAAAGAAATTTTCAACTCAGTCAAAGTTAGGTCAGAAACAAATACTACTACTCTAGATTTGCTATTTTCACAAAGTCAGCATGAACTATTGCCGGAACCCAATTCTCAACCAGCATCTCACCTTGTTCAATTCATTTTTTTCTCCTTTTGATGGGATTGGTGCAATTTGTGTAATAAAGTATAGGAAGACCAAACCAACTAAATTAAAAACATTATTTATAGCAGAGTGAAGTCAACGAGAATCTGAAGTTAACATCTGTGTTGGAAAATGAAGGTCAACATAAGACATAAAATTGCCTTAAAGATCATAAAGGAATCTTATCAACTACCCTATATTTTATAATAATCTTAATTTATGAATTTTAGGACAAAAGTGTCGCTTCAATATGAACTTTGTCCCCCTCTAGCCTATTCCAACAGCCCAGCACCTCAGTTGACACTTCACGTTTTGATGATATAATATAAATTATGTTTCTTCTAACTAATACTGCCCTAACAGTGGTACAGTGAGATTTTGGGCAAATTTGATCCGAAAATATTGGCTAATAATTTTTTTCTCATATTTATTAATGTAATTAATACAAGTATAATTAGTTTGATAACTTTCATGCTTCTACAGCCTGTTAGGGGAGAAATGTAACTCTAAATGCCTACACCACCCACATGATATCTTTGCCTTCTTTAAATTATTTATTTATCTTTGTTACCCTATGGAAATATATAGAACACTTTGGTTGTGGTTCCTGTGGAGTCATGAACCAAACCCGCCAAGGCCAATCGTCACTTTGTGTACATCAATCTTGTCTTTGCCACCCAAAAGTCAAAATGAGCGGTTCACGATAGCTCCACTCTCACCAGTTTCTTTATAAAATATGATTACATATTTGTCCATGTCAAACAATATGGCAAAGGAGAATACAACAAAATGATAAATAAGATTTTAGTTCTAACTCGTGCACCTTAATTTCAAGTTAGTGGACCTTAACCAATGCTACGAATCCCGTCCTAATTTCTTTACCATCCCTTCTCTAACAATTGTTTTAAATTTTCATCCTTATTTTATCTTTCTGTGTCAGTGGATTGACATGTTTTCTGAGTATGAAAATTCAAGCAATAAAATCTAAAGAACTTACTAAATCAATCACACGGTTCCAAAGTTAAATCAAACACAACATCGCCATATCTATATATATATATATATATATATATATATATATATATATATATATATATATATATATATATATATATATATATATATATATATAGTTATGGAATTGTTTACTTCTAGTCGTTTTGAAATCATACAAGAAAATTAGGAATATCGAACACTTTAAACAGACTAGTTCATCTGATAATCATTCATAAAAAGAAAGAACTATTGTAGAAAAACTTACATGTAAGTTCCATCAGCTAGGTGGATCAACGCCGTCAACCCGGCTCGCAGGCGGCTAGCCACTGGTGACGCCGCCATAGATACCAACACCGGCACCACCCCAAGTTCTGCTATCAACTTTCTAACCTTAACATCTTCCTTGGCTAACCTTTCAATTTCGTTTGCTGCTACTTCCTTCTCTTCCCAGCTTCCGAAGTGAAGCATCTTCACAGTTCTCTTCAACATGATCGCAGACTCTTCCTCTCCCTCTTCCTCCTTGTGCTTCTCCATAACTTGTACTGTTTCAAGTTTTTCAATCTTGTTGTTGTGTTCACCTCTGCTCTTAGCTGTGTCAAACCGATCAGAGAGATCAAAACGCTTTCTGGTTGCTTTGGATTGGAGAAACCGTCTGATGCGGGCAAAGAACTGAAGCTTTATGTTAGACAACACCCAAATAGAAGAAGATGAAGAAGATGAAGATGATGAAGGAGTTGACATGTTTAAGGGGGAGCAGAAAACAAAGCAAGATGCTGAAGTTTGAAAAAGTGCGCGTTTGCGTTTGGTTTTTATACAACTTGTTTCTGTTTCTGTCGTTGGAGACAGAGAGAGAAAACGAATCAATGAGACTATTTGAAGAGCTCCGTGAACTTAAAAAATAAAGGGAATGCACAGAGCACATGCAGAAAACAGTGCTATCCCATTTAATGTAATGGTGGATTATGATATTATGATACAAGATCTCAAATTAAGGATTTATTAAGTAATGGAATTTATGCATTATTTCTTTCATGAAAATGATTTCCGTACCTGAACTTCACTAGGGGCAAGGTGCTAACTTTCTGATTTACGCAGTCGTGACTATGTTTGAACTAAAATATAACATTAGTATAGGAGTGCTTGATAATTTAATTGTAGTTAAATCTATACAGTTAAAAGTCCATGGTCTGCATAGCCATATTTTTTTTAGAAAAACAGATATTTGGTACAATATCACTAACACCTAAGTTGGTCTTTCTTTGGCAGTATAGTATTTCACAATCTCAACCTAATATTAGTGTATAAATTAGTGGAGATGAAATACTATGAGCTTAGGACCCATCCATTATCTATATTCGTCAAATTCAATTTTGGGGATCTTGTTGGGTGGAACTCTTCGTTCACTGGTCCCAAAACTTGGCATTTTATTCATTAAAAGAGACAACAACTAACTAAATATAGACTTTGGTATTTATGTAAGGCCATGTCCATTGCATGTGAGATTGAGGGAGACCCAGTCTATATGTTCCCTTCTGGAACCATAAAATTTGTGTGCAGTACACACGCGTCAACAGTAATGTCACCTAATATATCTCTTCATGATCCTTCATTGGCTGCACAATCTGATCTGGATCGGTGGCTGTGATATTCTCACATGCATTGGAGATTTATCATCCCAAGTCCCCTTCCATGAAGGGTGGAGGAAGAGGAGCAGTCATTCATTATTTTGTGGATTCCCTTTTCCATCATATCATCCTGAAAAATGCATTTAAGTTAAATAAAACCCCTCCTTTTTTTATTATTAAAATGCATTTAAAACCATGGAGTTTATAGATTTATCATAGAGATTTGAGCTAGGAAAATATGTGGCTATGGTGGTGGAATTCTCCAGGAAATAGCCAGATAGATAGTTAGTAACGCATTAAAGAGCATCTTCATTGACAAATAAAAAAAAATGAAAGAAAGAGAAAAAATTATTTTTTAGTTATATGTCGGTATTGAGGTTTTTTAGCGATATATAAACTATGTAGTTTATGTAATACAAATGTGACATTAATTAATACGCAATTAAGTCATCACCATTTAGACCTACAAAATAGGTCTATTAATTAAGTGGACAGTAATAAACATTTGGTATTGCTTATTTGGGTGGGGAGATAGATATATTTGAGACTTTGATGGCTGTGGCATTTCCATGTTGGAGTCCACTACAAAGATTTATCCATATATGTGAATTGCAGGCACCCAAGTTTCCCACGTGTGAAGGAAGCACCCCATTCATCGATTACCAGTTACACATTTTCGTTTTGAGTTTGGCTTTGTGACAGTGCTAATATGATGTGTGCCACTCCCAGAACTTGCGTAACACCAAAATCATTTGTTTCTTACCGCCACCAACCGTAAATTCATGTCTCGGAATCTAATATTACTGTGTCCTTGTGCGTAAATGTGTTTTCTAAGCAAAGTGAAATTCCGTTAATGATAACGTTATGTGTTACTTAAATTGTTTTTTAGCGTTTTTAGTCAATTTCTTCTCAACTCAACAATTAATATTCAAACTATGACATGAAAATGATAATAACAATAATAATTAACACACAGGTGATTAGTTAGCGCCACTAGTAAATTTAACACTTATTGTTATTCAAATTCGTCTCCCCAACTCATAAAAAAGATAGAGAAAAAAAAACCGTATTTTTCCTCCCAAGGATGGAATTGAGGTTATTTACTACTTGAATTTTTAAGTTAATAATTTGAACCGCAAAGAGGAATCTTTGCACGGAACTGTGCAAATGTTTCAGTGAAGTTAAACAAAAATCGAAAATGTCATATATATATATATGTGTGTGTGTGTGTGTGTGTGGTGACGAAGATGGTGATGCATATTGCATATATAGTATTTCTCAATGAAGCCACTCTTCTAACGATTGAGGAGATCTTTCCATCAATAATGATCCTTGCTCAAATTATGGACAAGAGTTTTCGTTGCATAAACACTGGTACCAGTACCAGTGCCAGAGGAACAGAAACTCGTGTCTCACACATTAACCTATTCTTCATATTGTTTAATTCAAACCAGATTATGGAGTGTCAGATCGTAACTTATAAAGGTTGATGATTTTCCACCTTCCGGAGTTATCTCTTACCCGTGACCAAAAAGACATTAAAAGTAACACCACGTTAGTACTATTTTCGACATAATTGAATGCAGTAATTCACAAAACGATGAAGATAATAAAAAATAAAAAAATCTTGTATTATTAGGATTCTTTCTTTAGTAAGATGATTTATCCGGCGTATTCTTATTGGTTAATGCAACTCCATAACAACCCCAGAAGTTAGATCTATCGGTGGCGTTTCACGGATCATAAATATGTGGCTGTGAGACCTTCTTGCATTAATCAGAGCACCGCATGAGTAATATCATGGCAAACTCTGAACAGAGATTTGTCATCAGATATCACACGTGGGACTGAAATTGAGGAGACCATTTTGGATTTGTCCTCACACGTGTGGATAACTAAGGAATGTGAGAGTCAAAATGGGCACCCCACTAATGAAATTTCAGTAGTTTAAAAAGGTGGGAGGTTTTGCACAAGCAGCACCAAGTGCAGTGCCACCAAAGGGATAATGAAGAATTTTATAGGTTGATCACAATTATGGTCTTGGTTGCAATTTTATCCAATGATGACTCTTTACACTCACAAGAGACAAAAAGTGTAAAAGACCCACAAGGACAAAGGATATTTATTAGTTTTGAACTTCGAAACAATGAGAAGTCCATTTCACGAAGCTTCTTCTATGCTACTGTTGGTTTGAACTTCATATTAATAATACTCCACCACGTGTTCCAAGTATCATCCAAGGCTGTAATATTATATATCTTTTTGCAAGTGCTCGCTTAATGCAATGGTCCAAGTGATCCATCCACGTGTCTTTCAACCGATTCACGAAATTTCCCTCTGCCTTCTTTTTAGTTTTCTCTCTCTCTTTCAATCGTTTTTTTTCTTTTTTACACTTTTTGTCTCTGTCAGTCAAAAGAGCAATTCTTAATTTAGATGATAAAATTAAAGAAACATAAAAAAAACTGCACCAGCCGGGAATCGAACCCGGGTCTGTACCGTGGCAGGGTACTATTCTACCACTAGACCACTGGTGCTTTGCCAGAAATCAAATAACAGAGTATTTATAGTACTATATAGAAATGGTCTAGTGAACCAAAGTATATGGTTGGCATCAACATGCACAGGATTTTTTGAAGCATTGTAGACAAGTAAGTCCTGCACTCCGTCTCCTAAAATTGATTCACCAATTGTAGTTGAAAAGAAGACGCTTGCTGATACAAAGCATCCATTCCATGCACTATCAAGCAACACATTTAAGAAAGCAAAAGATGGATCAAATGTAATGAAAAGGAAAAGGAACACAACGGTCATACTAAGCTCCAATATTAGTGTATTAGCAACTATAAAAATTTGAGTTAAACTCCAAAAGATGTTTTAAATTTTAACCAATAAAAAATCATGTATCCAAACAAATAGATCGCTTCTGCAAAAAGTCTTACAAAAGGAAAGAGAGGAGAGACTATAAGATGAAGGAATGAAGCAAGATGGTAGAGAATAAAGAAAAGTTGGCCAGAAATAGAAAAACTACAGAGCAACAGCAAGTAAGTTGGTTATAGAGGATTCATGTCCATGTCTAAATAAAACATCGTTGTTAAGTAGTAAACACTCCTCTATAAGAAATATAATACTAACTTTATTTCCAATTAATTTTAAACAAAAAATTTAATATAATTGTATATCTTTGTTTATAAGACTACATTTTCTCATAATTAATATATGTATATAATTAATTCTTTTATGTTTTCTCATTTAAAAGTCAGTATATTGTGCAAATGCACAACTTAATTATCACTATTTAAAATTGGACAGGGTTGTTATAGCAAGTAGCCAATGAGGTATAGTTGTCCTTCAACTGTTTCCTATTGAACCGTTCTTCTAATTATGCGTCTCACTTTTGCGGTTCCGATTGCCCAATTGATACAGCACCAAGAATTCACAAAACTCAGAAAGAAGGGGAGCAAAAACCGGTTCAAAACAACAGTTTCAATCATCAACAAATAGAGGCATGAATCAGAAACCCACAGCTAACGCACTCATCCTCCTCTTAATCATTCATCTCCTCTGCATCTAATCTCATCCAAACCAATAACCATTATTCACAATGGCAAAGTCTGCAATCATCATCCTTGCCTCCGCCCTTTGCTTCTTATCCTTTCTTGGCTCAGCTTGTGCCAAAGAACGCTACTTTGTAGAGGGCACCGTTTACTGTGACACATGCCGCATCCAGTTCCTCACCAAGTTGTCTGAAACCCTAGAAGGTACTTGTTTTATTAGCACACATAAATAAGTCAGTGTCATGCTATAATGCTATATTCACAATTATGCATAATTTATACAATTTTTTTCTCTAATGTGCATGTTGGGTTTAGAGACTATAGAAAGTTTTTAAATTTTAAACTGCCCTTATATATATAACTGAGAATTTCACTCCATAAAAAGGAAGCCGTGCATGCTTTTATACATGATGAGCATGATGATTATTAGAACATGTGTGGAAGGGTGTAACCTAATGTGTATATTGCAGGTGCAACGGTGCGCGTGCAGTGCTCACAAGTTGATAACGTGAAGAATGTGACATTCCACAAAGAAACAACCACAGATAAAACTGGGTCTTACAGGGTGGAGGTTGACGGAGACCACGAGGAAGACACATGCGAGGTGATCCTTGTGAAGAGCCCGAGACCAGATTGCTCTGAGATTGACCATGAATCTCACCTGCTCCAGGCTGCCACAATCAGCATCACCAAGAACAACGGAATCGTCTCCCCTATTCGCCAGGCCAACCCTCTCGGATTCCTCATCAAGGAACGTCTCCCTGGCTGTGCTGAACTCTTCAAGGAGCTTGGAATCAATGAAGATGGAACCGTCATCTCTTAAACAACCCCTCCAATCCAACCACAATAAAGCAAAGCACTCCTGCATGGGATACCTAATATATATATATATATACATATAGCTACACCTAGACCCAGCCACCTATGTATCCATGTTAGGTTTTGTTCTTAAGGAGCGTTTTCCTTTACTCTTTCTATAGTTATTTTACTATCAATAATGTATGAGCTTTTCTATACTTCATTACAAGTCTCTGAAAATCATCCTTTGCTTGTACTACTCTCTACTTTTTCCAATTCTATGGACTTTATTTACATGAATCACTTATCTCAGTCTCTTTCCTTTTGCTCTGGTACGTACATGCAAGTAATCAACTTCTTTTATTTTAGCTATAAATTAATAGGTTTTCATTCAGATATTGGGCATTGCTTTTAAGTAGATTAAATTATAAATTTTACATAGGTTGAATACTATTTCATACTTCATAAATTTAAAAAAAATATTTAGTAGATTAAAAATTACAATTCATACTTAAAAAAAATGTAAACCTCGCTTATGTTGATTTTATCTTTTGATTATAATGAATCCTATTTTATTTGTAGTTGAATTTAAAAACATAATTGATCACTTTTAATGAGGTATATTTCTTTCTAATCACATTATTTTCTCATTCAAAAAGGTTGAATATAAGTTTTTTTTTTTAAGAGGTCAAGTTACTTGTTTTAAAATAAGATAGAAACTCTGTACTATTTAATTTGGTATATGTACATGTTTTCTTTTGTAACACATGGACACAATACAATAAAGTTCCTTGCATATTTGGGTTTGCCCAAAAAATCAGATTCCATTGCTTTAACAACATGGGCCTTAGTCATTCGTTGGACATGATTGTTTTGTGTCATGGAGTAAAAAACTCTTTAAAACAATTTCATGTTGGATACTGTAACGGGTAAGGTTTTAAGTTCCTTCCGTTAATAATATGTCTGGATGGAGTACTTATCTTTATACCAAAAGCTATAGCCATTAGTTAGAGTGTTACTTTTTTTACTTGAATAGCTTGGTCAACTTGACCTTCGTCACAGGACAATTGATATTACCTACAATAATCTCCCCCTCAGCAATTGTCCTACAAGGTATCCCACTCTTGGATTGTGACTCGGTCCACCCAGCCTCCGCCACGGAACAATTGTGCAACCCGCAACAATCTATTCCTCAACAATTGTCCACCAGGAATCGAACTCGTGACCTTGGCTCTGATACCAATTGTTAGACAAATGGCATCTAGAGGGGGTGAATAGATGCACAAATTAAAATAGATGTCAAATTAAAAATTTATTTGTGAATCAATAATTTGTTAAAACGGAAACAATAATACACTACTAGAAAAATGTCAAATAGTAGCCAAAATCGAGTGATCTGAAAAAGTTAGTTACTATTAGTGACTGAATCAGTAACCAAATTATTATTTTTTAATTTAGTAACTGAAATAGTAACTAAATTTTCGGTCACAATAAATCGGTTACTATTTCAGTCACTTTATTATTTAATTTAATTTTTTATTATTTAATTTAATTTTTTAATTTTTTTAATTATTCTAATTAGTATCTAATTTTCACTCCCTCTTTGTTACCCTCCCAACTTTCATCTTCTTCGCGCTGATAATCCTCCAAAATTTTGTGTTCTTCATGCTTGACGACCCTCCCAAATTCACCTTCCCGCTCACAATTTCACTCCCTCTTTGTGACCTTGTAGCAGTGACTATCCACCATTGTTCGAGCTTAATCACCTTCGTGTCTCCAACCCCAATCCTCCACCTTTCTATTTAGCTTCGAAGATCTTTAACCCGAGCATGCATGACCCGACCTCAAGCTTGAAATCCAACCCAGTGACCTTGAATCTCAAATCTGAGTGACCAAAACACCCAATCAAAACCCAAGCAACTTCGAATCTCAACCCCAGCCTCAACCTCGACGAACTCGAGGCCGAACCCCAACTCTGGCGACATCAAACCCCAATGTCAAGCCAAACCCAGCGGAGCTCGAACCCTAACGCATAACCTAGTGACGTCGAACTCTAACCTCGAGCCAACCCCAGCGATGTCAAACCCCCAACCCTAACCCTAACCCCGACGACTTCAATTCCAACCAAAACCCAGGAAACCTCGTACTAGAACCCTAACTCTGACGAACTTGAATCCTAACCCGATCACCTAAAATTACAGGAGGTTCTCCGCCTGATGAATTACAGGTTTGGTGTAAAGTTGCTAGAATAAACAAAGGCAAAGTATATGGGCTTGGATCTGAGTCAAGCAAAGCAATTGGGAGAAATCTTTGTCACGACTCTACTTCATCATCTGTCCAGCTTATGAGGGAGGAGATTGAACAATTAAAAAACAAGTTACAGGAAGTTGAGACTGAAAGGGATGATCTCCGTGAAAGAATGTTAACTAATGAGAGACAAATTCAGAAAAATGATAAAATGTTGCTCCTCTTGATGGAGAAGATGGATGTTCAACCTCCTGAATTGTGAACTGATTCTACTATGTATATTGTATTTGTTTTGTTAGTATCTGACATTTTTAGAATTATGACTCTTATTTTAGTTTATCCTACTTACTTTTATATTGAATTTTCAATATGTAAGAAAGTATTTAATTCATGAATGATGACTTTATTTAGAACAAAATTTGTGGTATTATTTTGATGGTTATCTTAGGTAGTGAAATTTTCATATATTTAATATAATATATAATGTATTTCATAGGTTTATCGTTATTTTAATAATCCATTAATACGTTCTTGAATCTTTAACAGATTTGTTTTAACTGATACGACAACGTTTATATCAATTAAAACACTTTACAAAAAATCTTCTAAGTTGATTTAATTGATTGTTTCGCGATTCAATCGATTGAAATATTGCAAAACTTTCTTGTAAAACTTTTCAAGTTATTTTAACTGATAAAAATAAGTTTTAATCGATTAAAACGCTGTGCAGAAATTGTTTTAATCGATTGAAACGAGATTTAATCGATTAAATGAGTTCTGCTCGGTCATAATTGCATTCTGATCGATCATAATTGAAACGATATAATAGCGGTTCCAGGTTAACCGCTATCTAAAATGTACTTCGCTTGAGCGACACTCTTCTCGCTCGAGCGAAACGCCCCCTGCACAAAATTGGCATTCTCGGGTTGTATTTCGCTTGAGCGACTCTAGCTTCGCTCGAGCGATGGTGCAACCGCTATTAAAAGTGCTCTTTTAAGAGCGGTTCCAGTGAAACCGCTATCATATAAAACACTGTGTAGAAATTTTTAAGTTGTTTTAATCGATTGAAACGAGATTTAATCGATTGAAACGAGATTTAATCGATTAAAAGAATTCTGATCGGTCATAACTAAATTTTGATCGATCAAGCCTGATTCTGATCGGTCATAATTGTATTCTGATCGATCATCCTGAACCCTTAAGTGGTTTTAATCGATTAAAATCAAGTTATATCGATTAAAATCAAGTTATATCGATTAAAATATTGTAAAAACATTTCACTTGACATTTTAAGTAATTTTAATCGGTTCTATCAAAGTTGTATCAGTTAAAAACTTGTTTGAGAAAGCTTTTGTCAAAATACTTTGTTTTTAATTGTTAAAAACATTTTTAGAGGCATTTTGCAAAATCTTTTAAGTGAAAAAACCTCATGCAACATAAATCTTTTAATTTTAGTATTAAAAATTTAAATTATATTTTATTAAATTAAAATAATTACAATATATTTTTCTACTTTGAGAATGAACAATATAATTAAACTCAAAATTGACAATATTATAATACATTTTTGAACTCTTTTGGAATAATATTTTTTTCCTAATTTTTGATAAAGTTAATTTTAATATTTAAAAGAATTTAACATTTTGAATTACGAAAGGTTTTCTCTAATAGCAAATTTAAAAACATAATATTCAAAAAAATAGTTAATGTAAGTTTTCATTATGATCAATTATAATTAGAAATGACAGATCATAATTGAGAAGATATGATAGCGGTTCCACGTTCTTAAGAGCGGTTCCTGTGGAACCGCTATCTAAAATGTATTTCGCTTGAGCGACACTGGTGTCGCTCGAGCTAAACGCCCCTACACAAAATTGGTATTCTCGGGTTGTATTTCGCTGAGCGACTCTAGTCTCGCTCGAGCGATATCCGATGAAAAAATGTATCAATCAATAAATAAAATATAGTTAGATAGCGGTTAAGGTTTAACCGCTATCGAAGTGCTCTTTTAAGAGCGGTTCCACTGGAACCGCTATCATATACAACTAGATTTTTTGATTCTGATCGATTAGATTTTCAAATGATCGATCATATTTGATAATTTTTTCAAATAATTAATTATAATCGATTAGTTTTCTAAATTATTGATTAGAATTGATTAATTTCTGAAATATATAATAAAAAATTATAATTAAAAATATAAAATAGTTAAGAATATTGACTATTGTAAAGATAAAGTAGAACATGGGAGGAGATGCGGATGATAATATAATGATAGAACTTACCAAAATGTAGAATTGAGAAGTTTGAAACAAATAAAATTAAGAAAATAGAGATTTAATTACACTTTTAATAAATTTGAGATAATACTAGTTTTGATTTTTATTTTTAAATATTTATTTTAATTATTTAAAACAGAGAAACTATAATTTTAGTTTCTAACTACTGAATTTAAAGAATTAAATTTATTATTATTTAATCTTTTAATTTTAGTATTAAATTTTAAATTATATTTTATTAAATTAAAATAATTATAATATATTTTTCTACTTTGAGAATGAACAATATAATTAAACTCAAAATTGACAATATTATAATACATTTTTGAACTCTTTTGGATTAATTTTTTTTTCCTAATTTTTGATAAAGTTAATTTTAATATTTAAAAGTATTTAACATTTTGATATAATGAGCATGATAAGATAATGATAGAATTTACAAAAATGTAGAATTGAGAAGTTTTAAAAAAAATTTAAGAAAATAGAGATTTAATTATAC